AGCCTAATTAGGTCGATTCCCTACTACTAGAAAGGGCGGATACCGGCCGTAACTATATATTAGGCTAGTTCCCTCTCTAAATTCGTGCGCGATCCCTGCGAAACTTAGTAGTTCGGGCACGACCGTATAAGATCTTCGATATCCTACCGTATTTGCGGCTACTATGCTCGCGGACGGAGTATACCTATAAGGCCTAGGTAGCCTAAGTGACTAAATTCCTTATATAGGCGGTTCACGAGGTCTCCACGGAAGATCGGCTCTAAATACGGGGCACAAAGCCTATCTTCGTAGGCAAAGATAAGGTTCCGTTCTCCTAGGTAGGCGTCGTCTTCCTGAAAGCTTAATTTCGGTACAAATCGCGAGACGGCTTTTGCTATAGAAGGGTCCTTCGGTAGCTCCTCCTTCTCTAGGAACTAGCGAGTTGCGGATAACTAGATATCTTCGGGGACTTTCATAACCGTATAGGCCTCTACTTAAGCGAGAGCAAGAGAAAAGTCCTATATCGGTCGGGATTTCGATATATTAGCAGGCCTATCCTCCACGAAATCAGGCCTGCGGCTTAATACATCTAGGACTACTACGTCCGATCCCTTCCGATACTAAATACGCAGGTTATACTCCTAAAACTCTGCTACCTAGCGAGCTAATCGCTTGCTATAGGTCTTAGTGGAGGTTAGGTATTAAAGACTTACGTGATTAGTAACGATTGTAGTCTACGTGCCGTTCTTAATATAGCGGTCCTATAGTCGCAAAGCTTCCTTAATCGCTAGAAGTTCCTTCTCCTAGACGGGGTAGTTTAATTCCGGCCCCGTAAGCTTTCGACCGTCGTAGGCGATAGGATATAACTTCCCGTCCGCTCCTAATTAGAGCAAGACTATCCCGATCGCCTATTCTAATATATCTATCTCGATTATAAAGGGTTTTAACAGATCCGGCTGCGCTATAACTAGGGCCTCCGTGAGCTTTTGCTTTAGAGTAGAAAAGGCACTCTCGCACGCAGTCGTCCACCGAATAGGACGGAACTTCTTCTAACGAAGTTCCTAGTCAGTTTCCTTGAATAATTCATATAAGGAGGCGCAGATCTATACGAATCCACGAATAAACCGGCGATAGTACGTAGCGAGGCCGACGAACTAGCGTAATTCGTGTATGTTTCGCGGTTTCGGCTACGTACGGATAATCTCTACTTTAGCCGGTAGTAGGCGGATACGTCCGTTTCTAATAATATAGCTATAGAACTCTAGCTCGTTCGCGGTAATAACACACTTGCCCGGCTATACGATTAATTAGTTACGATCGAGTATAGAGAGAACCTTCTCTAGGTGATCGTAATAGTCCTCTATCGAATCAGAGTAAACAAGGATATTATCGAGGTATACGACCACGAACGCTCCTAAATAGGGCCGTCAGGCCTTATTTATAATCGTTTAGAAGGTTGCGGGCGTATTGCAAAGACTAAAAGGTATTGCGAGCTATTCGTATTTGCCCCAAATCGTATTAAATATAGTCTTCTTAATCGATTTCTCCTCTATACGGACCTACTAGTAGCCGGAAGCAAGGTCGATCTTCGTAAGGACCTTAGCGTGTCTAACACGATCTAATAGCTCTTAGATCCGTGGTAGCAGGTATCCGTTCTTGACCGTAAGCTCGTTCAACGCTCGATAGTTAATATATATTCGCTATATTCCGTTAGCTTTCTTTACAAAGATAACGGGAAACCCCTATACGCTCGTAGACGGCCGAATCAGGCCCTTCTTTAGAAGCATCTCGACCTATTCTATCTGCTCGCGGAGTTTCTCGTCCGATATTAGGTACGAATTGATATTAACAGGTACAGCATCGCCCGTTTTGATCTCGTAGGCGAACGTACGCTTAGGCGGTAATACCTCCGGTAGCGAATCCTTGAAGACGCCAGGAAATCGCTCGAGGATCCTATAGATCTTCTTGTCTTTATAGCCCGGTAGCACGCCTTTACTTCCTTTCTCGGCCTCTTATAGGACTAAGAGTCTGCCTTCCGTTCCTCTCTTCCGTATTACCCTGCTAACCTGCCTCGTACTTAATAAATTCAGTCCTCCTTCGCCTAGGACGTGCCTAGCTAATTCCGGTAAGGGCTCGATCCGGTGCGTTCTAGAGCGATCTCGTAGTCTTATAACTAAAGTAATCTAATCGATCCGAGGGTTATATAACCTAAGGAAATCTCGGCCGAGGATGAACTCGTAGTCCAGAAGCTCTAGAACCTATACGTTTACGCGCCCTTGCTAGGAACTAAGAGTAATCGGGACACAAACGGACGTATTTATAAACAATCGTCCCCTATCTAGCATCCTTACACGTAGAGGTTCGATATAGTTCTCCTTTACAACCCCGCCGAGCCGCTTAACGACGGCCGGGGATATAAACGTATAAGACGCTCTATAATCTAGAAGAGCGCGAATAGATATATTCTTCCCTAGGAGCCCTAGTATAGCTCCGTAAAATAGCAGAGTCTCCTGCTACGTTTAGGGATATATCCTTATAGGCGTGTTCGTTCCTCTTCGGGTCTAGTCGGTCCTCGATCGGTATATTAGGAACTTTCGAAGCTTCCTAGAGGCAGCTAACGAGTACTTCAATATCGTTAGGCCCCTCTAGTTTCCCGACGGCTTCGATTGTTCCTGTTCGGGTCTCTCTTTCTTCGGATTTAGGCAGTTCCTCTTGAAATACCCTTCCTTTCCGTAGCTAAAGTATTTCTTCCCCCTCCTCTATACCCGTCCGCTTAGTATTACAGATAGATCTATCGTATCGGCGTCTGCGGCCTATTTAGCGTAATAGCCCGCGAGCGTAGCGCCCTCTTCGTAGCTTTTAAAGCGGTTAATAATCTCGTGAAGATCGGTAGGAGGGTTCCGCTCCTCTACCTATCGTCGCTGCAGGTACGTTTAGGCGCCGTCTCGAAGGAACTCGACGAAAATAGCGTCCGGAATCGCCTATTCGTATTCGATCGCGGCCTGCCGGAGCTAAGTAGCGTACTCTATAAAGGGCTGTCTCGTACCTTGTCGGAGCGTCTTAAACCGATCCTATCTCTTCGCGGTACTAAGGTACTCCGAAAACTCGCGGTTAATCTAATCCTTATAACCCTACTAGGTCGTGATAGCGGTTTCGTATCCGTTCGCTACCTAACGTTCGTAGCTACGCTAACCTCTTTAGGACTTCCCTGTTAGAGCACCGCTAGCGTATATAACCTTTTCCTAGTCGGTCAGCTCTATAGTAGATAACTCGGCTACCTGCTAGAAGTAACGCTCGCAATTATAGAGGTATTCGCGTACTATATCCTCTTAGATCTTGCTACTATAGTCCCGAATCTTGTTAATCGTCTTTAGAAGGGCCCGTTTCTTCTCCGATTCCGCACGATCGCTCGCAGCCGCTCTTAGCGCGGCTATTAAGGTCGCCGCCCTTACGTTCGTATCCGTTAGTTGTAGGAGGCGAACGGTTTCCCTAATAAGGCGTACTATCGCTTCTCGATCCTACGCGCCTTGCTATAAATAGAGGTACTGCTAGCCTATCTCGTATAGTAGTAGGAGTAGCGCTACGGTCGTTAACGAATCCGGTAGGTCTTAGGCGTGAGGATTCGGGCCCTATTAGTCAGGACCTTAGACGTTCGGGTCCTAGGGCTCGTGGGTTTAGGCCCGGGAGGCCTGTTCGTCGGTTAGGGTGTACGGAAAGTGTTCTATAGTAATTGACTGTTTAATGCGAGAGTGAAAGGAGGCTTATACTAATCCGTTCGAAGCATTCCTTTCCGACACTCTCGTAGTTTTTTACTTTAGCTCGCTTACAGCCCTAACTTCCGGCCGTGTGCGAGCAGAAGGATACCCTACAGGAGGAATCGCTCGCGATTAGGCTGCTTAGACCCCTTTTCGCTGCGTTAGTTGCCTTTCAAGGGAGAAGCCCGCACTACGGTAAGGGTTTAAGGTCACTATAATGTTATTCGAAGCCTTCTCTCTTAACGCTTTCGCTCGCAATAAGGGCCCTCTAGTACCCTTCTATCGCGCGATCCTCTCCGTCGATCGTGAGTTCAGATCTTCTTGGGAGACCCTTTTCGTGAGCGGTCTCCCCCGGGCGGCCGCGGAGGGTCGCCCGTTTTTAAGGGTTTGCTACCATATGTGATCTTGGTAGAGCATGTTTTGTTATATTCGTAAGGAAATGGGTCTAAATGAGTGTAATCCGGTAGATACCGGCAGAATTCTGGGTGCCTGGGCCGTACGGATGATGTAATCAGGCCACACGTGGCCGTCAGGATCACAATTATATATACGCCCTGTTTTCTCTACAAAAATCATGTCAATTATCAATCATACAGATCAGCAGATTCAATACAATCAACCAAGCTTCAGTCCTACCTCACTTTTCTCTCATCATGATCTATTCTAAGCCGAATTGCACTTATCCTTCCTATTCAATCAAGAGGAAGAAAGATCAATCGATCTTATTCAATCATCATCAACCTTCTTCCTCTCTACCTACCTGCGCAGCAGATCGCTTGCTCACATCTTCGCTATTTGATTACGGTTTAATGCACCAGACGCATCGCCAATTCCAACAATAACTCAACAACTAGAAAAGATAAAGATAATTAAATTATAGTTTTGAAATCCTTATACCTTTCTCTCCATATTAGTATTGATTATAAGTTCCAATTCTTGATGTCTTATGTTTCCTCAAGGTCGCGATTTGCTATATAGATTTTTCGATAGATCGCTAGATTTGGCTATCTTATTAAATGATCTCGAAGACCCGATCGGAAAATTCCACTAATCGATAGAGATAGGGGGTGGGGTGCAAGATTTAAACCTTAAAGTCGTCTACCCCCCCTTTGGCCAAGACTTCTTAACTATGAGAACCCCCCCGACCCCCCCCCCTCTCCCCCTATATAGCCCGACTATATTTCGGTACATTCTTCGTCTGTACGACCATCTTTGGTTCTGACAACAGAGAATACATCCATCGATTGATAGCCAAAAGCGACCATATCACAGTTTTGTAGACGGAAGTTGCACCTCTAGATCAATGACGGCTTGCAGTGCACTTGAAATATCTGCGTGCATAGTCGCAATTTCAACACTAGGGAGAGGCTTCCGCGCGGAAGGGCTCCCATAGCCGAACCACTTCACGTTTGCTGCCTTCACACCCGAGACGCCCATTTTCAAAAGTTGCCAGTCTGCCAAAGATAGGAGGGCTTGAATTCTCTGCGCTTTCTGGATCTCGCCGCCGTTGTATAATCGGATAACCTCCACATGAACTTTCGGGACTAGGTTGGCAAGAGCGGAAATGACACCTCTGGACCCCACCACGAGTCCTGGAAGCAAAAAGTCGGCCTTCCCAGCGAAAGGTGAGAAACCCGAAGCTGACAGAGTGGCCGAGAGTCGTTGAAGTTTACCAAGATTGCCACAGGTGAGTTTGGCGCCGACGATATTGGGGCATTGTCGAGCCAGATCAATGATAAGGTCCGAGTCAAGATCTATATTTGCAGTGACACCAGGAAAGTTGTAAATAATGATTGGAAGCGGCGATTTCTCAGCAACCTAGACGTTCCAAAAAATCATGGTCGGCCGCGTCAGCGGGGTCATGGATGAGTGCAAGGTCAGAGGCATACCTCAACGTAGAAAGATTTGATCACTGGCTTACTCATTGCTGCACTCCAGTAGTTCGGAGGCAGGACGAGAGCATAGTCGGCACCGGCCTTGTGAGCCTCCGCAATGAACTGTAATGTCTCTCTCACACTGTTGGCACTGCAACCAGCGATGATCACAGGTTTAACATTGACTTGCTTCGCAGTAACCTGCACTTGACGGATGACTTCGAACCGCTCTTCGTGAGAAAGGTGTGTTGCCTCGCCGTTGCTACCGTGTATCACAAGACCAGATACGCCACTAGTGAGAAGTCTCCTGACATGCTGAGCAATCGAGTCAAGGTCAATCGATTCGTCGTCGTTGAAGAATGTCACGACTGGTGTATAAACTCCATAACGAGGTGGCTGAAAGGACATCGTGATTCGCAATGTTGGATGAGGGTTTAGTGACCGAGATGAAAGACATACGAGTGATTTTTCATCCTCATTCTAGCAATATGTAAACTCAAATAGGACTTATATAATTGTTTCCTCCACACAACTACTCCTGAACAGCAGTGTATAATCCGAATTTGATGCCACGAACCCTACTGGCCTTGTATCCACGCCGAAATATTCGGCAAAGCCGCCGAACCCTTCGGTCGGGCAACCGATCGGCGACAAGTGCATTTCACTCGGCCCACCGTACAGACCTTGATCAACTTGTCCCTATGTCGGCAATGCAAGCCCGACAAGGGTGTTGCTGTGTCGACAATTGAGTACCCTAGTTGAAACAGGCAGTTGTGGCTGATTGGGTGCGGTGCAAACCCAGAGACTCACCGTTGCCAAGCCTACAGTTCATGATTTCGATTGGCACGAATACTTGTCGTCAGGACGTGCATGCATGCTATATACGATATACTGGCCCGGTTGGGGGCAAGAGAAACTTTGCACCTTGCAGACCGATTACAATTCACGACATGTTTGGGCGGTTGGAAATCTACCAACACAAGCCCCCACATATGGAATGATAATCTAACTTGATTGGAAAGATCCTGGAGATAATGGATTTGAAAGCCACGGTCGGATCCCAATTCTCGGATCGCATGAAAATAGAAATAGCTCGGGGTAGACTCGCGATGATTGGTTCGGTGCCATCCCGAGCCAATGGTCAACATTGTCGGATGCTCTCTCCGAAATACACCGCATATCGCTGGGATTGACCCAACTTACCCGATACGGAACAAGCCTGATGCCATCGATGAATAATGAGTATGACGTACTGGCTTTGGAGTTTCCACGACCAACTTCAATGTTCAAGCCCAAATTGTGACAACCCTGCAACCTGATCAAGTTTCCCGCGCCTACATCCAAGAATCGTTGATATACTGAGCGGTTAGACAAGCGCACGATCGGCGTGCAAGTTCCGGAATTACCCTCGTCACCGGACGAATGCAAGATGGTACCGTCAAATTCCGCATCTCAACCGACCAAAAGGCCACGATCTACCCAAAAGATGTCCAAAACCGGCATTGGAAACAGGCCTTATCGCTCCCACAAGGTCAGAGCTTGCGATACGTGTCGAAAACGCAAGGCGCGATGCACAGTGGACATTCCACATCAACCATGTATTACATGTCGTGTGCAAGGCACCAATTGCCTATATGAGGATTCGTTCCGAGGCGAACATCTCAAGCGACCGTCGATTCACAAAGTGACCGAGACATTACAAAGTCCAGCGGTGGCTAAGAGAGACTCCAAGGCCCGGACTCTATGGAATCGTGAACTCGACTCTATCTTTATGATAGGTCCCATGGAAGCAGAAGACGCGCATGTCATCGATGCCTACATCTCCCAGGAAAATTCTGATGGCATCACGAACGGTTTGAGCACTATATATCCAAGCATACCAAACAGCCCTGCGCTTGATGCCACTGTGCCCCCGAAACCGCACGGTGGACGGGTGAGAGGACCACCCGGGGAGGCACAGCGAGACACACTACAGCACATTATTGGTCCAATACGACATGACTTGGTCAGGCTGTGAGTATTCCAGCAACACAAATGTGGAATATGAGATACTGACGATGAGTGGAAGATTTGTCAAGCAATTTAATGCTGCATTCCCGTGCATTGAGATACGATCATTCTGGAATAGTTATATTGCAGATCGTACGAACGGTCCGTCTTCATCACTTCTATGCCAAATATACTCGGCATCATTGCAGTATTGGAAGTACATTCCGGGATTATCTGGCCGTCCCAAGCCTGAAGCCTTGTATGTATTCAAGCTGTCCACGGATGCTTTGGATGAAGATTTTACAGAGCCTGGTATATCCACGATCAATGCAGCATTGGTCAATCTCGCCGTTGGGCCGATTCACTCTGTATCGAACCGTGCCATCACCTGTGGTCGTATGGTATCTCTGGCTTACTGCCTAGGATTGAACGCCGATCCTATAAGTTGGAACATCTCTGAAGACGAGAGAGACCAAAGAATCAGACTTTGGTGGTGTCTTTTAATCCACGATCACTGGTGAGTCATTTCTGGAGCTTCTCTATGAAAGCTGCAGGCGGTCTGGTGGAATGTGACCTGACATTTCATATGATAGGGGAAGCCTTGCATATGGAGTACCTCCACACATATCGAAGGGGCAATACGACGTACCCATTCCGATGTCACAGAGCCTATCTTGGAAAGATCCCATGGAATCAGGAGATCTTGCAAGTACCGACTGCTTTATTTCACTCTGCCGTCTCACAGAGATATTGGGAGGTATATTGCCTTTTATATTTGAGAAAGTACCAAGAACGACAATGCTCTATGATTTAAAAAGACTGAGACAGATTTTGGTAGACTTGGACATCTGGGAAGATTCATTGCCCACGTCAATCAAACCGAATGAGTGTCTTGGTTATGGGTCGCATCAAACTATTGGGTTGAACAATTTGCGCTTAGCATTTCTTTACACGAAAATGCTTGTTTACCGATTGCAATTCAATGTGAGTGTACTCTGGCTTGCGGGTCGTGAGAGCAAAAGTTGACCTGGCTCGTATGTGGAAGGCAAGCCAAAGGGACACTGATGACAATGCGTCATCCAGCTTTTTCCAATCCGAGTGCCGTAGAGCGGGCGAAGGCATTGTTCGATTCATTTGTAACCTTGGAGCTACCGACTTCCATGACTTTTGGTTGCCATGTACGTTTTGCCCTGTCTTTCCCAACGGACGATGCATAAGTTCCTGACCACAGAGAACAGATAATTCATTTATTCTCAAATCAACAGCAGTTTTTTTGATTCGATGCGCCTTGGAAGTCGGGGACGACGGTCGCAGACTTAGCTGTCTGAATCAAGTGCAAATTCTTGTCGCAGCCTTGCGGCATGCTCGTCGAGAGTACGACTGGGACATAGGAGCCACGTGTCTGGACTATTGGGAGCGTGTAAATCCATTTCTTCCCAAGACAAAACATGAGAAGGATCAACAATGGGAACCAGAGGGAGTCACAGAAAGTCATTTGAACGCGGTTGAGCCGGCGAAGACCGCATCTCTACGGGACCCAATGAACGAGCTGATGGATGATATATTATCGGACGCAGTGGACCTGTTTCCTCTCGATATGACTGGCATCTGGGGAATGACTACGTTGCACGATAGGATTGCTACTTGATGGAATCAGATCTGGATCGTTGGTCTTGGTAAGATAGATCAAAAGTGCAATCTACCACACTAAAAAGGCTCGCGAGACGAGAGTAATTGACATGTCCTTCAACGTGAAATAAGTACACTGCTCGAATATGATCTCACTAGGCTTGGACATGGCAAGGATTGTAGAGAGGGTCTACGCACAGCCAATCCGACTTCTTGAAAACAATACGCCCATCCTTCAGAAGAGCCACAAGATGCTCCTGCATGCGATCGAGCACAGTAATGTCCTCCAGGGGGTTAGATGCCAATATCAGCATGTCGGCAAGAGCCCCTTCTTTGATGCACCCGAGCTGACCCTCCATTCCTACGTATCTGGCCGCATTGACGGTAGCGGACTTTAAGATGTCCTTTGCACTTAGTACGGCCGACCGAATGGAGAACTCTTGATTTTGCAGAGGGTGTAGGCCTGCCAGTAAATCGGAGCCATAGCAGATTGTTGCACCTGCTTTCTGCAAAATGGACAAGGCTTCCAGTCCACTGGCGAGGACCTGACGATTCTTGGCTTGGCTGAAATCATCCAGGAACTTATCAAAAGGTGGCTTGGACATTCCGTGATAAGTCACCAACGTCGGAGTAAAAACGACGTCCAATTTCGTGCAGTAGGCCGCAGTCTCTTCGTTAATGAAATTTGCATGTTCGATGCCTCGAACGCCGTTATCGACAGCATGACGAATAGCCTCCACGGTGTATGCATGTGCTGTAACGTATGTTTTTGACTGCTGCGCAGTGGTCGTGATCGCACGGATCTCCTCCGCAGTGAACTGAAGCATATCAAGCGCATCTGACGGGGTTGCGACACCACCACCACACATGATCTTGATGAAATCCGCTCCTTGCCGGAGCTCGTCGCGGGTAGCCTCTAGACACTCAGGTACTCCGTTGCACACCCGTGCGAGATCAGGGGTGTGGCCCCCACAGCATTTGTGTTCCGGCCCTTGGTAAATCGCGCGGAAATCCCCGTGGCCCCCAGTCTGAGAAAGTGCCTTGCCGGCGATGAAGAGTCGTGGACCCATAATCAAGCCTTCGGCTATGGCGTCACGGAGGGCATAGTCGGCACCACCGGTATCGCGTGCAGTGGTGAATCCGCGAAGAAGCATCTCCCGCGCTACAAAGGCAGAGCGATACGCAATGCTGTTCGGGCTCGCGAAAAACATGTCTTTTAAAGAGGCAGAGCCTGGGGTCGCAGTCATATGTACATGGCAGTCTATCAGGCCAGGACAGATGTACTGGCCCTTTAGATCTACTGCATTTGCCGGGAGGGAAAGTGGACTTGCTGCATCACCCGAGGAGACTTCCACGATTCGACCACCCTTGATGTGCACAAGGGCATTCTGGATGATATCGCCTGCTTCCACGTCCACGACATTGGCATTGTAAAATTTGATTTCGGGGCTTGCCGTTTCAGGTATCCACGGCTTGCTGGTGTTGCCACTCATCGTCTCGAAGGATAAACTGCTGCTGTTTGTGGATGAAGGGATCGCAGCAAAGGAAGACAATATTCACGGACTGAAGAAAGATCTGGAATGAATGTGGAAAGTAATACAGATGCTCCCCATCACTATCTACTGCTTCTTGTGCATAACTCTAAGAGATGGTCTACGCAAGCGCCCTTTCGGTGACAATGCCGGGTCTGGAGGTGACATCCGCAATCTTCATGCGGGGTAGCAAAAGCCTAAAAATTCAAGATAATCAAAAAGTGATAGTGATAGCGATAGGAGTCGGAGTTCGTCTATTCCGACGTTCGGCCTCATCCGAGCCCTAGGTGTTGCACGATAGCCCCGCCCCTCGGAAGAAGATATCGAAAATCCCGCTACAAAAGTTAATGATTTATGAGTGGGAACGGGAAACCTCTCGCATATGCGCTCCCCTCTTCCACCACATGGATCTCGGTGCAAGGTGCTAACAGCTCAACACGCCCTGTCGGGGACATCATCCGCATCTCGCCACATCCCTTCGGCTCACATCCGACTCAATAAAAGCGGTTCTCTAACGAATAAGGCTGTTCCATCGCAGCTTTTGATAAGTCTGCCTGCGAATCATACTCCCCGCCATCGATTTCGCAAGTGATTTCTGCCTTCGCAGGGGTGTTTATTGCAAAGATGGCTGTACCTAGGTCCTTGGGTCTCTTTCGAGGAGTACGGCCTACTTCCAAGCTTCCAAGATTCGGAGGTGAATTCTCAAGTGTCAAGCGAGCGAAGTCAACCGTCCCTGCGGTTGCGATCGGAGGGGAAAATGCAATCAATGCGACGCTTCCACATGCGCCGCCGCAACTTCCTCCACATTCGTTGCTACCCAACAAGATGCTGCTGAGGTCTCTTCTGGTGGCCACAATTTCCTCTCACCCTTGGCTGTTGACGCCAGCCTTAAAGATGCTCCAAGTACTGGTCCATCCTGAAGTACCTCTCCTCGATGTCGACAAGAATCCCCTGTTGCGAAGCATTCTCAAACGAACATTCTACAACCATTTCTGTGCCGGCGAGAACGGGGTGGAGGTCCGATGCACGATCGGCAACATCAAAGACATGGGTTTCAAGGGCGTAATTCTCACTTACGCTCGAGAGGTCGTGGTTGACGCCACCGGCCCGGCAACTGAAACTGCGACTCCAATCAGGGAGCAAAGCCCCACGATCGGAACTTCCACGGATGCCGGTGTTGAAGCCTGGAGAGAAGGTGTTTTGGATACAGTCGAGATGGTTGGGCCTGGTGATATCCTTGCGTTGAAGTAAGCTCCCCCATCCGGCATAGACATTGAATAGTTAGCTCATTGTATGTTTCCAAGGCTCACTGGGGCTGGCGAATCTGCGATGAAGGCTCTTTCGGCCAATCAGCCTCTTCCAGAGCAGATGATGAATGCGCTCGAAGAGATCTGTTCGCGCGCCGTGGCGCAGAAAGCCCGCATTTTCATTGACGCTGAGCAACAATCTGTCCAATCTGGCATTGATGCCGTCGCGTTGGACTTGATGAGACAATATAACACCGATGGGACTGCGGTAGTGTTCAACACCTATCAAGCTTATCTGAAAGGCACTCCCGCTACTGTGGAATCGCATCTGACGATTGCTGCAAAGGAGGGGTTTACTCTGGGTGTCAAGTTGGTCCGAGGTGCCTATATCAACTCTGAGCCACGGGCTCTCATCAATGATACCAAGTCTGATACGGATGACTCGTACAACTCGATTGCCGAGGGTATGATCCGACGATGCTATGGGCCATACGGTGGCGAGAAGTCTTTCCCGTCCACGGAGTTGTTCTTGGCTACCCATAACAGAGAGAGTGCTCTGCTCGCAGACCGGTTGGTCAAGGAACAGCTTGCAGCTGGGCTTCCCACAGTCAAGGTTCAGTACGGTCAGCTGCTAGGCATGGCAGACGGAGTGAGTTGCAAGCTGCTCCAGCTTGGCCAAGCGAAGAGCGATGATGCTCGGCATGTCGCCCCAGAGGTTTTCAAGTGCCTTAGCTGGGGAACTCTTGGAGACTGCCTCTCGTATCTCCTGCGCCGGGCGGTGGAGAATCGGGACGCCGTTGGTCGCACCAAGGAAGAATATTTGGCGCTCCGGAAGGAGACTTTCCGGCGGTTGAGGCGCGGTTTTACTTAGTTATGATTACCGTCTCGAATGTACCAATATACAATTCTGCAAGGTGCTGCTGGGAAGAGTCGTAGCTGATCACGTAGCATTCGGTGTCTGTCGGGCTAGGGTGGGGTTATGCCCTGTCGCCAGGCGCGATGAATCTGATTTACAGGCCCTTCAATTTGCATCGATAGCAACTACTAGCGTGCTCGAAAGGTGATTTCTAATACACCAACGGCGATGGTCGGTCGCTCGAATGCCTTGTGACGAAGATGATTGACCAGTTCACATCCTGAACCTTTGGGGCCACATACTTCGGATCACGGGCCCGAGAGCCCCGCACCCGACTCTCAACCTTCCGAGACTCCCGACGACCCCATTCAGCTCGCGTCGGACGCGGTATCAGAAACTGTGCATGAGTATACAGCATGGTCGCATCAAATCCTCGGTCAACGAATGCGTATGTACACATCTCGCATCCATGTCATATTTTCCTGATGAAGAACGCGTGGTGACCTCGGTTCAGATGTGAGTCCTGCCGACGGCGCAAGGTGAAATGTTCCGGCGAGCAGCCTTGCCACGCATGTATCAAGCACAAGTGGGAATGCGTCTTCGACCATACTGGCCGTATGCGATACTCTCAAGCGTGAGTACTTTGGCCATGATGCCGACTCGGCCAAGATTAACCGCTCGTTCAGACAGGTCAAACGGCTATTGGATAAAATCCGAAATTATGAGGAGCAACTTGGCTCTCAGTCCGGTGGTAAGTCATTCCTCGCAACGCGAACGGTCTCCGGCGTGCTCATATCCAAGTGCCCGGTGTGACAGGTCCTCCGCGCTCATCGTCGAATGCTCCGGATCCAATTCCGATCGCACCTTCAGGACAGCCCGGACTCGCAAACCCTCAGAACCCGATAACGCCGGACAACCACGTGCCCGAGGAACAGCCATCAGAGACGCTGCCTTACGATGATAGCGTAGATGGCATCAGTCCAGGCATGTATATTAACGTGCGTCGAACTGAATTAGCGGATAAAGCTAACGGCGTATATAGCCACTGACTTGACCTCGGGGCCTGCATTTGAGTCCCAAGTGAGGTCCCTGCTTGACAGATCCAAGGACAACATGCCTCTCTCGAGTGGTGGGTATCAACAGGCTGCTGGTGGACCTGGTGGGCTTGTGGGTCACTGGGAATCAGTTCGCGGGCTTGTTGACGGTGCCAAAAGCCCTGAGATCCCGTCATTGGAAGAATCCCACCACCTGCTGGATCAATTTCTGTACTACCTGGGGGTGAGCCAGCACTTCTTTGACCCGCGTTCGTTTTCGGACTCTATGGTACTTTTTTTCCAATCGCCCGAGACCCGGGAACAACAGAAACGGACGACTTGGTTTACAGAGTATCTTCTCGTCATGGCCATGGCGAAGCTCATGGATGTTGACCAGGCTGCGTCTCAGCCACCGGGGTCAGATCTGTTTGCGGAGGCGCTGGGTCGTATTCCCCCGCTGCAAAACCTTGGTGAAGAGGGCGTGATTGCGGTGGAGATCCTGACATTGGTTGCCACATATCTACAATGGTGTGATCGAAAACACGACGCATACCTTTATGTATGTTCGCTTCTTCGCCGAGTTCACTCTATTTATTGACAAAGGTCAGATCGGTCTTGCTTTGAGACTAGCTATTGCACTCGGTTGCAACCTGCCCGAAAATGAACAGACATGCCTACCTTCACAGAGTGCCCAGAGGGTCAGGCTATGGTGGACTGTTTACATGTTAGACAGGTTTGCCTTCCCGATGCATCCATTACCTGTCCCTTGAGAATATGACTGCTCATCATGTATAGGCGTCTTTCGTCGGGGCTTGGATTGGCAGGTGGAGCCGATGAACGACAGCTGCGAGCAGGATATCCGCGGCATGCCGTGGGCTTTCCATCACCTGTGGCTATCACAATCAATGTCCGCATCGCGCGCATAACAGACGAGATCATGTGTTGTGAGCGTACTCAATCACTAGCTGCTCATAAGCTGTGGCCACTGACAAGTGTGAATTCAGCATTATATGGAAATCACTCCATTACCCAACTCGACCTTGTGAAGAGGATTCAGGTCATACTCCAGGAATTATATGATATAGGTCGATCTTTCCCTCAGTCGCTAGTCTTGGACTTCAATCAACCATTGGAAAGGGTGACACGCACGGGAGCGTCCTTATACTTGATGCTGTTCCAGGTAGTCTCTTTGATTCCCTCCTCATCTCGCTTTGAGAGCAGTTTCTGACATAAAACCAAAAGGCCATCATCCTTTGCACCAGGCCAATTCTATTGAGGAGAGTTCGCTTTGAGGTCCAAAGACAGCAAGAATCATTACCCCCGGAGCCGATCCCGGATATATTAGCCCGTCTCTGTGACACTTGTTACGAGGCTGCAACGCGAAGCTTGGCAATACTGTACAGCCTTCGACAACAACGGATAATACGTAAGTGTCGATGACCCGTCATCAATTCTCGCACAGGCTTCTCTAATAGATATAATCATGGTGCGCAGCACGTTATGGATTCTTCGATCTTGACGCGACTTTCTCTGCTGCCTTTGTGTTGGTAATGGCTGGGTTCGCAGAAACCGCGCAAAAGGAGCCGCCACCCGCGCTGGACCAGGCCTTCCACGTCCTCAGATTCCTCTCCCAGTCGGGTAATTCCGCAGCCGAGCAAAGATTTCAGGATATCACGCAGTCATGCTCGCACGTTTGGCCCAACTATGCTGTTGAAGGTGCACCACCTCCTGATCCCCAGAGTTCTCACAGAACTCCAGGACGAGACAGAGTACCACGTCCTGTCCCAAGACATGAATTGACAAGAGGTTCTCCCGCATATCCATCAGGCGCTCCAAGTTTTATAGGTCTTGCCCAAGATTTCGGACAATATTGTCTGGATGAGAGCCGGCTACTTGAGCCGTGGTCTCAGGACGGCAATTCGGGTACAGTCTTTGACATGGAGGGAGACTGGGGCTTAGACTTAACGGGTGAAGCTGAAGGGATATACTCAAGCTTCCACAATCCAATAATGTCCTTGACTGGCGTTGACTATATGGATTGGCTGGAAATCGAAAAGGTCTTTAACAGCGACGGGACTTGAGGCAGACGGATGTTTTTCTTGTGATATCGAAGCATCAATACCTGACTGGAGCTTATCAATAGCCTTGTGAGTTCTGAGCCAATGTGTATGACTACTTTATGGATTCATGACTATATAACGGGACGTAAAATCGCTTTTCGGAACCCCTCAGCATCCTTACAATTTGAACATGAATAAGTAAAGATTGACCTTTTTCAATTCACGCCTTGAATAATTAATACAGGGAAGTATACTACATCTCGTTCGAGGGGTAGGTGACATCATGGGTTAGTTGGAAGTCCTCCTTGATGCTGCGGATGCTTGCAAAGCGAGCAACCAAGTTGGTGCTGGTGGCCTTGTCATTGGTACCACTGGCACGGGAGCCTCCAAAGGGTTGATGGCCTACAACGGCGCCGCTGGTCTTGCAGTTGATGTAGAAGTTGCCGGCTGAGTGGCGTAGCTGCTTTTCGGCAGTTTCAATGGCAACGCGATCCTTGGCGAAAATAGCCCCAGTAAGGCCAAACTTGGTAGCCGAGTCTACCTGGGAAAGTGTTTCCTCAAACTGGCTGTCAGGGAAGACAAAGACAGACAGAATTGGGCCGAAGAACTCATTCTTCATCAGCGAGTGCAATGGATCCTCCACTTGGAAAACCGTAGGCTGCACGAACCAGCCCTGGGCACGGTCAGTCTGACCACCAGCCAAAAGAGTCACCGAGGTATCCTTCTTGGCTTCCTCAATGGCATTGTTCAGTTTTTCCCAGGAGCGCTCGTGGATAACAGGACCAATGAAGTTATCAAATTCGTCGGGGCGGCCCATCTTCAGTCTCTCGGTCTCAGCAACGAGCTGCTTCTTGAACTCGGGCCACGCCGATTCAGCCACGTAAAGACGGGACGTTGCCGAGCACTTCTGACCCTGGTACTCGAAGGCGCCGCGGACGGTGTTGACTACGGCATTGCGGATATCTGCGCTGCCGTGCACGACACCGAAGTTCTTACCACCGGTCTCACCGACGATACGGGGGTAGCTGTTGTAGCGTCCAATACGGACTCCATCGGAGATTTGGCCGTAGAGATCGCGGAACACTTCAGTTGAGCCGGTGAAGTGAAGGGCTGAGAACTTGGGATTTTCCAAGACAGTATCAGTGACGACCTTTGCGTTGCCAGGAAGGAATTGAATGACGTTGGGAGGCAGGCCAGCTTCCTCCAAAATCTTCTTCTGAAGATAACCAGAATAAACAGCGTAGTCAGAGGGTTTCCAGATTACTACGTTGCCCATAATAGCTGGGGCAGCGATCAGATTGGCACCAATCGCGGTAAAGTTGAAGGGGCTGATCGCGTAGACAAAGCCCTCCAGAGGGCGATATTCCAAGCGGCTGGATGAAATCAGACAAAGCGATATCAAACACGGAACCAAACCACTTACTTCCACATGCCGGCCTCATTCATAGTGTTCTGCTGCTTATACAACTCGGATGCGTAATGCACGTTGAAGCGATAGAAATCGGCCGTCTCGGCAGCCGCATCAATCTCAGCTTGCCAGATGTTCTTACCCTGGCCGAGCATCGTAGCAGCCATAATATCATAGCGGTACTTTGTGGCAACGAGCTCGGCTGCCCGCAGGAAGATTGCTGCTCGGCTGGTGAATGACATATTCTCCCACTCAGGCTTCGCCTTGAGTGCTTTTTCAATCGCTTCATTCACCTGCTCAGCAGAGGCTTCACGATAGTTGGCCACAGCCGAAGCATGGTCAGCAGGGTTTTCCTGAGACTTATTCAAGTTTGAAGAAATCTAATATCTTGTTAGTGTGTATGATTCATCCAACGTTTCCAAATTTCAAAGCACGAACCTCCAGGGAACCAATGGTGAGTGGCACTTGAACCGGGACCTGGCTCTTGAGCTTGTCCAGCGCATCTTGAAGCTTTGCCCGTTCGATTGAGTTCTTTCCGTATGATGGCTAGCAATATAAGTTAGATTGGCCTGCGATAGGGACTCACACCGACCGGGGGCTTACGTTGGGCTCGTTGCGAATTGGGGGAACCTTGAAGTTGGCCAGGCCGCCGAGATTCCGCCTCGCACCCGCGATAAGAACACCCGGCACGCGGGGAACAGTGCGGAATTTAGGTACGCAAAGCATGATCTGTGTGAGCTTTTCCAAGGCGTAAGATGGTGATTGAAGACCGGGGATTCTGGGCCTCCGCCCCAGTCTTAAGTGGGCTTGCAATACGCTGGGATGATCCCCACGGTCGGGATGTATCACCGAGCGATTTGGGTTTCGGATCTGAGCCGAACGATTCGTCCATTCGGCTGATGGCCGAACGCCACTGAGGATGACCCAACCACAGAAGCAGCGCGGCCGAGAGGGCGTAAATATGGGCGACCGAGAGAAGGGGAATTCCTGCTCAATACCAAAGCGACTGTGTCAAGATTGTGGTTTGACCAGCCCTTGAGCAAGATGCAGTCCGATACCAAAGAGATCAAGAGTCTGCCCATGGACTACAGGGAAAATGCAAAGGACTTGGCTGCCGGTGCAGCAGGTGGAGTGGCTCAAGTCCTGATAGGTGAGCAGGGGTCTCGTTGTGTGACTGTCTATTAGCACTAACTTTCAGAATAGGTCAACCCTTTGGTAAGTCAAGTATCTTGGACAGCAGTTCTATTGCTCACCTGCGATAGACATTGTCAAGGTCCGGCTACAGACTCAGTTTGGAGGAAGTGCCTTGACTGCTGCACGAAACATCTACGCCCAGGAGGGAGCCCGCTCCTTCTACAAGGTATGAAGAAGCCCTCGTGTGTCGAAGACTCTCGACTCTGATCCATCAGCGCAGGGGACATTGGTGCCGCTCCTAGGCGTTGGGGCTTGTGTAAGTCTTTCCATATTTCTCTCATCTAGACCTGTATACTCAGCCCATCATAGGTCAGTATACAGTTCGGTGCATTCCATGGATTCAGACAACTCATAGAATCCTATAATTATCGAAATGGTCACACCAAAGATCCAGGTCTGTCTTTGCCTCAATTCTATCTCGCAGGCGGTGCTGCAGGAGTGACGAACAGCCTCATTTCGGGCCCGGTTGAGCACATCCGCATCCGTCTCCAAACGCAACCACATGGTGATGCCCAGCTCTACTCCGGCCCATGGGACTGTGCTCGGAAGATCATCCGCCTTGAGGGCCCTGCTGGCTTATATCGAGGTCAGGTTGTGACACTGCTCCGAGAATTTCACGGATACGGCGTTTGGTTCGCTGCGTACGAAGGCCTCTTGGGATTCCTGCAACATCATGAGCAGAAGAAACGCGAGGAGCTACCCAACTGGCAGATTGCCATCTGCGGTGGACTGGCTGGTGAAGCTCTTTGGCTGTTGAGTCATCCTCTAGATGTGATTAAGAGTAAGATGCAGAGCGATGGTTTCGGTCCTAATCAGAAGTACCATAACATGAGACATGCCTTCAAGGAGACTTGGGTGACTGGGGGTATCAGAGGGCTCTTTCAGGGCCTGGGACCGGCTTTGTTGCGAGCAATGCCAGTGTCGGCGGGTACATTCGCAACGTGAGTATCCCTGTTATTGGCGTAGTGCTTGAAGGGATGCCCCCCCCACCACTGGGGATTCGTGAGCTAACTTGTCTCTAGTGTCGAGCTGGTCCGTAAATTGCTGGTCTAGTGCAACTTGACAATAGATTCTGATAAAATAATCGAATAGTTTTCCGCCATTAAGGAGATCCACATGCGATCAGACATAGACGTAGTCGTGATCCACCGATGAGGCCCGATTTCGGTCCTCGGTTCAAAGAGCCGAAGCAAGACTTTTGGAGGTGTATAATAATGAGGCCAGAATAAGCCAAGGGCTAGCTAGCTCCTATATGTGACTGTATCACTCGTCGTGCGACTTTTTCAATCTCTTTACAATATCATGGAGGCGACTCACGAAGTTATCTGTGGCCTCGATGCACCGTGTCATGCCTTTTCTGCCAAGCAGTCTTCGGCTGCCCCAACTTGGACGCCTAAGAATGGTAGGCAGAAGAAGAAGACTTCAGGGGCATCGCTGAGCGGCGTCGATGTGGCCAAAGAGGTGGACTTCCCCAGCTGGTACCAGCAAGTGCTTCTGAAAGGAGAGATGATTGATTATTATGATATCTCCGGTTGTTATATCTTGCGCCCCGGCTCTTGGGAGATCTGGGAGATACTGCACGAATGGTTCAACCGCGAGATTCGAAAGATGGGAGTTCGGAACTGCAGCTTTCCTCTTTTCGTGACGGAGGATATGTTGAACAAGGAACAGAATCACATTGACGGGTTTTCTGCGGAGGTGGCCTGGGTCACTCAATCGTAAGACATTTCGTGCTCTTCATCTCTCAGAACCCACGCTCATTTCTGGTACAGCGGTAGTAGCAAGCTCGACAAGAAGATCGCAATTCGCCCGACATCCGAGACTATCATTTATCCCTACCTGGCCAGCTGGATCAAGAGCTGGCGTGAGCTGCCCCTTCGCTTGAATCAATGGAACTCCGTGGTGCGGTGGGAGTTCAAGAATCCCCAGCCATTCTTGCGATCACGGGAGTTCTACTGGCAGGAGGGTCACACTTCTCACCTTAGCTGCCAGGGTGCCGATCAGGAGGTGCTCCAGATTCTCGATCTCTACAGTTGCCTTTACCACGACTTCCTCGCTATCCCCGTTGTGCCCGGTCGCAAAACGGAGAAAGAGAAATTTGCTGGTGCGGACTACACAACCACGGTGGAAGCGTATATTCCTGCTACCGGCCGCGCAATACAGGGGGCTACATCTCATGGCCTTGGTCAGAATTTTAGCAAAATGTTCAATATCACGGTTGAGGCTCCGTGTGAAGGCCAGTCGGAAGAACGGACCAAAAAGACATTCCTCTGGCAGAATTCCTGGGCTTATTCCACTCGAGTTCTCGGAGTCATGGTCATGGTCCACGGTGATGACAAGGGGTTGGTCATCCCCCCGCGTGTTGCTCCTGCTCAAGTCATCTTGGTGCCGGTCGGTATAACGGCCAGCACGACCGAAGATGTTAAGCAGAGTCTCGTTGAGGCCATGGCTGATACTCGGGAAACACTGCAAGATGCAGATATCCGTGTCGAGAGCGACCTGCGAGAAGAATATTCGCCTGGCTGGAAGTTCAATCATTGGGAACTGAAGGGTGTTCCCCTTCGACTTGAAATCGGCCCAAAAGAACTTCAGACCGGATGCGCATCTTATGCACGACGTGACAACGGCGATAAGGGGTCAATTTCCTTTGCCAGTCTCGCTGCCCAAGTGGCAGAGCAGCTTGCATCCATTCAGTCCGACATGTACACACGCGCGCTCGAAAAATTCCGCGACAATCTCAAGATAATCACCAACTGGGCCGATTTCACACCCGCGATCAATTGTAAGCACTTGTGTCTTGTCCCATTTTGTCTGAAGGAAGACTGTGAGGACAAAATCAAAAAGATGAGCGAGGGCACTTTGGATCCCGGCTCCGAACATGATGCAAGGGCCCCCAGTATGGGAGCAAAGAGCTTGTGTATCCCCTTTCAACAACCAAGCGACTTGAAGGGTACAAATACTGCATGTCTGAGAGAGGGTTGTGAGCGAATGGCAGAAAAATGGTGCATGTTTGGAAGGTCCTACTAAGGCAGGTAGTAACATATCGTCAGTCAGGATTAGTTCTATGTTCTTTGTCTATTCCCTGAAATCAAAAATTAAACCACTATCCAAGGGCCGGGCGAGGGAATTATTTTATTTAACCCCGCAAAGTCCTTTCTCTATAATTTCGGTTGAGTAAATTCGACATCAAGCATGGGAAAGATCCATCGGAAATCCCCTCAAGGATTCCCTTTCTGAATACAGTACTGTGTAGTTACTCGCTCGACCCATATTATAATCCGAGATAGCCATCTGTTCCTAGTTTTCCGCCTATAAGGCTTTAACAAAATACTGAGGCTCAGCACACAATCCACTAAGAGGCTCCGTCCCTATATCTATTTAGGCTCTCATCTCCTCCCAGAGGTAAATAAATCTACATCACAAAGCCGTGGTTGAGTTCTGACCACTTGATATTGTGATAAGAGTGTTACAAGATACCTTCCCGTTATTCCAGTGATAGGCACCTAGATATTTAGAAGAAGCCTAAACTAATGAAGGGCCTTCTATAACCAGAATCATTAATTCGACGCAAAGTAAGTACCTAGTATATATCGGATTCGTGGAGACCCCGCTAGCAGAATAACGAGTCGCAGAAAGCTAGCTAGTAATACCTTATTCTACTAATTTCCGTACTAATTAGTTAAGCGATAAGCCGATAAATAGATATACGAACATCAGTAAGAGAAGAGACCGTAATAAGTAACGTTATTTCACTCACGTGCCTTCAGCATACTAAGAAGCTAGCAGGCTTAAGAGTGCCTGTAGAGGTCTTCTAGAGTGACGCCGGGCAAGGGTCAGTAGGTTAAAGGGTACAAATGAAGAGGATTCATGTACCCCATCGAAGATAGCAACCAGGGGTTCTATGCCGGTATACAATCCAAGTTAAACAGATCGATTTCGCATAACAGAGAAGTGCTAAGCACGTAGAGTGCATCTAGAAGAAAGGATACAAAAGAGAAGATAGTGATCGGGGCTTCGACTGGCTATCTCAAGGGACCATAACGAATACATATCAAAGCCTGATGCAGTCAACATGTAGTGAACGAGGACATTGAACAATAAGCACTGAACGAGGCAAACGATAGTTCGGAGCCGGCACCTTGGGCACTACAAAAATCGATAGCATGGGCATTCCCCAAAGGCGGGATTGAAATGGGCTAGGCTAGCTTCCTGTGCTGTAATTTGTCAATAGATCGATGGTATCACCTTCCTGATATGATCATCGGATTATAACATCCGAGAGACTGCGGATCATACCCGAATATCAGCACGCCTTCTACTTACTGATTGCCGGAGACTGCTCACTTTGAGTTCTGGACCCAAGTTATCATATCTTGGCGTTGGGTCATTTACCCCGCAAATCAACCTCTCGCAGGCCGGATATGACGGGGTAGATTGCCCTTGCATAAAGGAGCAGATTGTTCCTACTTTCTTTGCAAATCATTTCAGAATCATTCCACTGCTAAGATAACATATATTATTTCACATACCCATCATGGAGCTTGAAGTGAAGAAAGTGGGCACCAATTCGCCTGACGATGTGAACATTGATATTGGGGCTCTTGAGTTGCATTTCTCAGAAGAGGAAGAGAAGCGAGTCGTTAGGAAGATTGACTGCTTTATCCTACCAATGGTACGTGTGCTGACTCCGCGGACTCAAGAAAAAGCTAATGTTCTGCTTAAAGATGTGTCTTGTGTTTTTCTTCCAGTGTACGTGTCCCAAGGCTACTAGTTAGACATGGTAGACGTCGCCTGACTGCCACAGACCTTGACAAGCAGAGTCTCAGTTATGCTTCGGTATTCGGGCTCATTGACGACCTTTCTTTGAAAGGGTCAGAATATTCTTGGTGCTCGTCACTGTTCTATCTCGGTACGAACATTGAGTCTGTCATCCACGAGCTGCCATAACTTATGTACTTATGTTTTCTCCAGGTCAGCTGGCCGCCGAGTACCCCTTCATTTACTTGATGAGTCGACTTCCCTTGACGACTTTTGTCGGTGGCACGATGTAAGTCAAGAATTTCGAAGCCACAACCTCCCTGCAATGGTCCCATAATATTTCGTCACAGCATTCTCTGGGGTGCGGTCTGCATGTGCCTTGCAGTGCCAACAAATTTCGCGGGTTTCGGCGCCGTAAGATTTCTCCTTGGAGCTACAGAAGGGGCTGTATCCCCGGCCTTTGTGACTCTCACTAGCATGTGGTACAGGAAGAACGAGCATGCAACAAGAGTTGGGTAAGATAAGTCACACGGTCAGGATGCTACCACCAGTGACAGATAACTTACTTTAGCGATTGAAACATAGTATATGGATCACGATGAACGGGCTGGCCCAGGTCCTTGGCAGTTTGCTCATGTACGGCATTGGAAAGCAGCACTACCCCCGGCTGGAATCCTGGAGAATACTTTTCCTCGTCTGTGGAGCACTTACGGCGACTTTCGGGGTCGCGTTCTATTTCCTTGTGCCAACTGGTCCCCAGAGAGCATGGTTTCTCTCAGAGAGAGAGCGAGAAGTCTTACTGGCTAGAATGGCGCTCGACAGAGAAGGCGGGGACAAAACCAATTTCTCCAAGTCACAGCTGAAGGAGACTTTGCTGGATGTCCGAGCGTGGTTTATTTTTGCTTTTGGAATCCTTGCCACCATGCAATCTCCGGTCCTAACAGTAAGTACAGTTTCCTTCCCGTTTTCATGGATGGGTCTGGACATAGCTTACGCAAGTCAGTTTGCTTCTTTGATTATCAAAAACCTCAACTATGACAAATTCGAGACTATGCTGTATACTTCGCCATCCGGAGCCGTTCAGATTGTCGCGATCTGGATCGCAGTGCTTGGCTGTCAACTTCTGCCCAACAATCGATGCCTGGTGGTCATCGTTCTCACAGTTCCTCCATTGATTGGTAACATCCTTCTCTTGCAGCTTCCACTTACAGCAGGATGGGGATTGATTGTGTCTTCCTGGCTGGTAGGTCTCGTCCAAAATGTTAAATTTGCAAGGTGATGCTAAAGACCGCGTTCAGGCGTCGTGTATATCTGATGTGATGGTAGTACTCCTCAGTCTCAGCGCATCGAATGTGAAAGGAAACACAAAGCGAGCAATTGTCAACACATTCTACTTCATTGGCTACTCAGTTGGTTGCATTGCAGGACCCCAGCTGTGGCAGACAAAATCGGCTCCCAGGTTCTTCGAAGGTGTCGTTACTGCGATTGTGACATGGTGCTTGCTGGTCTTAGCTATGTGCCTCTATTGGTACCTGTGCCGAGCTGAAAATACCAGGCGAGATCAAGAGCAGCAGACTTCGACCGACATCTTATTACATACTGAAGACGTGACCGACATTGAGGACCGTCTTTTCCGCTACAGCTACTAAGATAGGTAGTATCGTTCGCTGACGGGTGGTGGGGGGTGTATGAAACATCCGCAGTACTTCTGAAACTGCGCGTGGCCGAATCACTACCAATCCTAGATAGGATGTACAAATAGTTAAAGAATCGAGAGTGCATCAATCAAGACGCTTGAGGGGCTGAGAATTAAAACTATTCATCCAAAAATATCGTGAAAGCTTATCATTTGCTGAGGTTCCGAGGCTGGAGACGGATGTGATGCGACATATTCCGGGGATTGAGTTGAAAGAGCTTACATATTCAATCAAGAGAATTGATGAGTGCCAATAAAACTTCATGTCTAATCCTCGGCTGTACGCCTCCGGACTAGAAAATAATTCGCGTCATTCTAGAAAGCTTATAGTCGAACCCGGGTAGGATCTATCTCGATGTTCGAACCTCTCAAGGTCTTATCCATGGAGACCAGCTTTTCATGGGAATTGCACATCCAGATTTTTCCTTTGTTGGCTGTAGGTGAGCCACACTGGAACAAGCACACAATCTAAGCATACATGCAACATACGCAACTACTTTTGCGATGTTGAGATTGAAGTCTTGACGATAGAAAGTCTTCAATCACTATGATTTGATCGGGGATAGAACATTTTATTCCATGAAAAAGCTCATACTGCGTACTTGAATTGTGCCCTTTGGGATTGTTCCGGGGTGTCATAAGATCACCAAGCCGAGATCAGAGCTAGAGGTCTATAAATTCTGGGACAACGTGAGGTAGATGTGTTCAGATTGAGGTGTAGGTACTAGATAAGCTAGGCTGCTCAAGTTCCTTGACTGCAATAGGGACTTTTGTCCTTAAATTGTGCTTGACTTCAAGCACTTCGCAATGGACTCAGCTACATATTGTACGTTGTTGGGATTTAGGCCTGCAATGGAGATTCTGGAGTTGGAAGCCATGTAAATATGGTGGCGTTCTTGACGCAAGATTAGCGACAAAAAGACTTCAAGAAGCAATCGAAATTTCAGGAAATACACACCTTTCAAACGGTTGACAGTCTCTAGCGGGAGACCCAGGAATCCAAACATCCCGGTCTGTTGGATGAGATGCTCCCACAGGCCGGGCGCCCCTGTTATCGATGTTAGCTTTTTTTCAATACAGTATGGACGAGTAATCTCACCGGCTTGGATGAGATGTTCGTAGAGGGCCTGTCTCATTGACTTGATCCGCAGACTCATTGTTCGGAGATCCTCATACCACATACGTCTCAGAGCTTCGTCCTCCAGGATCGTGGCGACAATCTTTGAACCATAGGCCGGGGGGTTTGAGATCTCCGAGCGTTGTAACATTTCAAGAACTGACTGCACGTTTCTAGCGATCGCCACGTTCTGGGAAACGATGAAGAGGCAGCCCACACGCTCGCCTACCGATTACACTGTCAATACCGAGTTCATCATTTGATAATTCATGCGAGACGTACCGTAAAGACCCATGTTCTTGGCGAATGACAAGCATACCCCAACCTCAATCCCCAATGCAGTAAAATGACGGATGGAGAATGCATCGTCATCAATGCTTCCAGAGTTGAATCCAAGGTATGCGGCGTCAAACAAGGGGAAAAGACCGCGATTTTTAACAACACATCCAATCTCGATCCATTTCTCGCGCGTTGGATCAAATCCTGTTGGGTTATGAGCACATGCGTGCAGGATTACCACAGACCCAGACCGAGCTCTCTTCAAAGTGTCCAAATAGCATTCCCAATCGATACGTTTCTTGGCCTCGTCATAGTAAGAGAATGGGTGACAATCAAAACCGAGAGAGGAGAAGACTTGGCGATGATTCGACCAGGTGGGGGTGGGAATTATTACGGTCGGTCGCTCCTTACAGCCACGTCGAAGTAATAATCCTGCGAGATGCAAAGCGCCTGTCCCGGAAACACTTTGACAAACTGCGACCTAAATATTGTTAGAGGATACACCATCGGCACAATGAAGAACCCTGTGACTTCAGACCTGATCTCTGAGGCTCGCGAAGAGTTGATCTCCCAAAGCTAATTTTGTGGCCTCCAACCTGAATTTTTCATGTCCCAGGATTGGAAGGTACTCGTGATTGAGACCCTGGCTTGCTAGCTTCTCGCGACCTGTCTGAACAGAGGGCAAAACCCATGGATTCCCAAAAGCGTCCCGATATGTTCCCTGACCAAGATTCACCTTTTTTGGATACCTATCCTTGTGGTATTCTTCAGTTAAGGCAAAGATAGCATCCGGTAGAATGTAGGTGGCGGCATCGAATATTGACGTGCACGTCTTTCGGGCTTGGGATTCCATCTCGTTTGCCATCGCGGAAGAGAGAAAGAATTGTGCCAGTACCTCTTATTGACTCAGAATAACCTCTCCTAGCACAGCGACATATTCTACGTAATAAATATTATCCCGTACATGATGCTCGGTCGACATCCGGGCTACGCGATGATGCCACCAGTATTTCGGGTCACTAATCCGAACCCAATCTGGTACCCGTGGAGCCTTTAGCCACAAGGTTTCTTGTTTTTCGAGATGCTTAAGAAATGACAGAGTAAATTGGTGTGTCAGAGTTAAGCGATCCATTCCCCAAGGTTTTGATCGCCATAATGATATGGCTGCATGGCGCTACAGTATCTTGTCCTTTGGCCCGCTCCACAGCGAGTGATTGTCAAGTTTCTCATCTAAGGATACATGCTCGCCGCTAACGGAGCAGGGTGAGATTATGGGGATCAGCTCTGTGCTAGATCCTGTCACAGGTGTAGTCGGATGATGCACCGGCGCTTCTCTCTCCATGCGGCCAAAGTGGCTCGATGTTTGCTTGCCCTCGCGGTAGTGCTGCTCTCTGCTGAAACGCAGGACGCACAACACACATATCTACCATGGACGACCAGTTTTTCAAGCTATAAAGAGGATGAATGTCTTCAATGACCGATCATCGTAGAACATTGCTCAAAAAAGGAGTATTCGCAGATGTCTGTCGTATTTTGTGTATATAACGTACAACTAAGTTTTTCTTCATTTGATCATACGGTTCAATTCGCCTCGCAACTCATTATTACTAAGGGTCCCAAGCCCAAACGCAGGGATAATACGGCCTATGCGCACCAGGGCGGCTGACACAAAGTTCCTGCGGACAAAGTCAATCATTTCAGGCAGTTTCACCCCTCCTTGCCTGTTATAGATCTCCAGTCCAATGAGATGAACTGGGGTGTTTATTGCTTGACCAAGCGCCGGTACAGCAAGTTGTGCTACCGCGGCCTTCGCCTGAGGGTGCGAGAAGGCCGTGTCAGAAACATAAGAGGAAACCGTACTGGGAAGGGCAAAAGAGGTGTAAATGGTGATGACATCTCGCAGAAGAAATGCAGAGTAGGTGGAGAAAGGTGTGCGAGGTGTCAATGGAACTTTTGACGGGGTTTGTATGGGCAAAGTTGCACACACAAAAAGCCTTGAAAAGACCGTGTCCTTGTGGATTCCAAGCGGAATATTGACCGAGAGAGTGGCAAAAACCGTAATCGTCTTGGCCATTGTTGGATCAGGTCTAAAGAATTGGGTATCTGAAATTGTCGTGGTCGAATTGGCAATGCCGAAAGTTCCGAAGTAGAGACCGAAAACAAGCAGACATGGCCTCGAGAGAGCGAAGCGGCCTGGTGCTTTGAGAGCGCATCTCAGATGTGTCAAGAGAAAATCGGAGAATGGCCTGTTTGAACAGGACATTTCCACAACAATTCTGACAGGTCTTAATCTACAATACCAGACTCGCAAGTTGTATTCTGACTCACCTGTCCATGATCGTGACTACTGGCGTGACTAATGCGGCGGCGACTGCAGCCGCGGCGGCATCAGCAGCCAGCCTCTGAGGCAAATTGTCTTCGGTGAAATTTGCTTTATGTACTGACATTCTCAAAGGTTGAAGGGCCATGGGCTAATACCCTGAGAGTGGCTTATGAATGTTTTGGATTGAATTGTTTCTCCGTCTCTATCATCAGCTGCTCCCGTGCGGAGCGCCATGCTTCAGGCTGTGGAACATACTTATCGATCGACAGCAGTCATAATTCCGAGCTAGATGCACAATTTGTCCACGCCGGATCCGAGACCCGATGTCCTTTGCGGTGGGATGCTTGTACTGCTCGGGAGCCGGCCGAGGCTCCGCACGCTAAGCCAGTGGCAATCAAAGAAACAACAAGCTCGGGGCAGTACCACCGGCGCAGAAGTCCTGAGCTACATGTGTCATGATAGTACTTGCCTGCACTTCGTTAGCGCCCACAGTCGAGCCGCTGGTCCGCGCAGCATTCCACTGCCCACTTAACACGATCCTTACCATCTTAAATGACGATATGGTCACTTTCAACTTGGTTCCGGGAGTTATGTCGGTAACAGTTACGGGGCGCGAGCGCCTTAATCCATCTGAAATAAGCTTTTGATATCTCTCATTTGTATTAGTATCCAGTGGTTCGGTTTCTAGATTGATGCCTTTCACGACCCGTCACCAATTGTAAAATCGTATCACCTGCCAAGTCTGCGATACCCTAATTTCTAGGTTCACCTCTATCTCCCCTTCTATGTAAGGTAATGAATCAAGGCGTTCTACTTCCGGTTCAAAGCAGCTATTGCGATCTAGTGTAGTATCACACATATCATATTACTCGCCACAGGCCGTCCTATCAAGACTGCCTTGCCCTGACTAGGGTCTATACGCCTGGTCGATACTGCTGTGAAACTCCCCACAAGTCTGCAAAGCTCTTCAAACATTCACTATCTAATCTCCTTCATATACTTTCAGTGAGCTTTCTAAGTCAGTGTTCCCTCGATAAGCTAAAAGATTGCCACACTACAGGCCAATTATTGTCGGCGATACCAAACGAAGCGTGACAACACCGGTCCAGATCCGCTCCAATGAGAAATCCATCCGGGCCTGAGTTAGGACATTTTCCAGGAAACTGTTCCATTATTTCAAAAACTGATCTAGTAATTTGGGTTAGCCAACGCGGGGGAAGGCCCGCGGCTTCCCCAGACTCTGGGGCGATTGCAAGATTTAAAAGGGAGGTGCTACTACCGGACTGGTCCTGTATCATGGCTGTGTAAAATTATGATTATCGCATATCAAATCTACATATATTCAGTCGAACATATCTCATCATGTCAAAGTCAAAAGCAATCGACTGCCCTGAAATCGACCGCGCACCACCACAGGTTGGTGAGATACATGATGCAGAGAAATACATGCACCACGATGCTGTATTTGGTGACATGGGCGAAGGTGGCCCCAACTACCGCAACGTACGTATTGAACACAATATCGTCACAACAACCTCTGACCTCTTCAAGTTAGGATGGATAGGCACCGCGGTGTTGATGACCAAAACACAGATCGGTCTCGGTGTACTAGGAATTCCTTCTGTCTTAAACACTGTCGGACTGATCCCTGGAATAATTCTGTTACTCGTGGTTGGTGGTATCACAACTTGGTCAGACTACATCGTTGGCGATTTCAAAATCCGTCACCGTCATGTCTATAGCATTGACGACGTTGGGGAGATGTTGTTTGGTCCCATTGGCCGTGAATTTTTTGGCGTAGCCCTTTCTCTTTGTAGGTGCTGATGGTCTGGTCAACTTGCCCGACCTAATGCTAATCTCCAATCTTAGCATTCACATTCATTGCAGGCTCAGCAATGCTGAGTATCTCAATTGCATTTAACGCACTCTCAAATCATGCTATATGCACTGCAATCTTCGTCGCTATTGCAGCTGTCATCACCTTTGTTTTTGCAAGTATTCGGACCCTTGGTAAGATCAGTGCACTCGCTTGGGTTGGTGCCGCAAGCATTATTATCTCCGGTATGTCGTGCTCAAGAATTCTAATACCTTTGACCGTTCTGAACCTCGAGTAGTATTCACGGTGACCATCGCTGTTGGGGTTCAAGACCGCCCAGCTGCGGCACCCCAACAAGGTCCCTGGAAGTCGGACTACAAGCTCTTCAGTAGCCCCACCTATGCAGAAGCTCAGACAGCAGTCTCTACGCTCATATTTGCATATGCAGGTACCCCGGCCTTCTTTCCTATTGTGTCTGAAATGCGTGACCCGCGCCAATATACCAAGGCCCTGGTCGCATGCCAGACTCTAGTCACGGTGACGTACATCACTATTGGCTTGATCGTCTACTATTATTGCGGTACCTACGTTGCTTCGCCTGCACTCGGCTCAGCTGGCGCCATTATCAAGAAAGTTGCCTATGGTGTTGCTCTGCCAGGGCTCTTTGTCACAGCGCTCTTATGGACTCACGTAATTATTTTCTCGATGTATACTCTTTGTTGATTTCGCTGACAGACCCTCAGCTTCCAGCTAAATATATTTTTGTCCGCATTCTGCGAGGATCGCCACACCTCACAGCCAACACTATAACCCACTGGATTACATGGATTGGCTCAACCTTCACTATTACCTTAGTGGCTTACATTATTGCTAGTAGTGTTCCGGTGTTCGAGGACCTGGTATCCCTTGTGGGTGCCTCGTTTCAGACTTTACTGTCTACCCAGACCATGGGCATGATGTGGCTGTACGACAACTGGCCTGTTTCTAAACGGGTGCGTGATAGTCGTTGGTATATAGGGGTCGCGTGGAGTGTCTTCGTGATTGTTGCCGGCACTTACCTCATGGTCGGTGGCACGTACAGCTCAATTCTCGCAATTATTAAGTCTTATCATGAGTCTGGTTGGACTGCTGCATGGAGTTGCGCAGACAACTCGAATTCCTCCTAAGGGTGGACAGATTTTTTTCGCATCGTGGAAAATAGTACCTAGTGCAAGTCGTCGTGTAAAGATCTAGAGATCTGGAAGAAGTCAATTTCGTTATCGGCTGAGGCTGCAAATGAATGTTCACCTGATAATCAGGTTTTGATCGCAACCAGGAATATCTTCTTATGTACACGTATCATGAGGCCACGGTCTCAGCTACATTTAGATGAACCAATCCCCTTAGTCATCTGACTTCTTCGACGCTTTTTCTGTCGGGCAGAGCGCTTCAAGCCTCGAATTCGGGGCGAGCTGATTGTAGTAGGCTCACCTTTCAACACTACCGCCTTCTGTCCGCCGAATTGGATGAACCATGGCCTACATCACAAGTAAGTTCTACCCTTAGGTCACACCCGAGATGGATATTGCTAAACGCTCTGGGCTGCAAAGGCTAATACTATACGGTGCCGTGACGATGGGCGCATGCTATCTCGTTGCTGCTATGTATTTAAAACAAGGATGGGATCCGTCACGGGAACGCTTGATATTTTCCGTGAATTGCCCTTCAGCCTCCTCCTTCCCTGCTTTAATCACGCGGTCCGCTAAGGTTAACTAACTTAACTAGTTAACGTAATTCCTGGCCGACCGGAACACCCGGTCGTGCGGAACACCCCAAAACATCATACTAAATACAATATTTCACGACCTCATAATTCAACACCCAAGACTCGGCATATAATCCTATGATACCTAAGCATTTAATATAAGATATAGAGTAGTTTTACGAAAGTATGAAATATTTGAAGACTTATAATATAGAGATATATACCCCTATGGCTTGAATATAGCGTAATTTTCGGTAATGTACGTAAATAATGATTTTCTATATACTTTAGTTACACCATTCCGTTCTAAAAGCTAGAAACCCAAAAACCAAGCAAAATAAAACTCTCGTTGTTGAGAAATAACGAGCTGTGGAATTGCATTTAGTATGGGGATTCCGCATGACTGGGTGTTCCGGTCGGCCAGGAATTACGTTAACTAGTTACAAAGCTAGGGGTAACGTATAAGCACTGCTTCAACCCGTAACCCCCCTACGGGCCCGACTATGTTTAGGGGTTCCAATTGGGCAGCCCGAAACATCTCTCCCAAGGCACCATCTGTCCGCAGGTAAGTGCGATTCCCTTTGGTGAACCAAAAGCTAATTGCAACAACTAGCATCGCCCTAAAGACGACAATAGCCTAGTTCACTGTAGCAATTGTAGAGGACGGAGAGCCAGGGAACAAGAAAAATACCGTAGTAACGCAACAGTATATAAGTCCAACCTAGTTGATAATTGGGCGCAAGCGTCTAAGAGAAAATAAATGAAGGGGAATATCAGATATTCCAAAAATGACGACGGCGAATATCGGCAGCGCGTATAATATAGTTAAAGCGATTGTGGAGACGCTAACTACTACTTCTACGGCCGTATCTATATAGAAGTATAGTAGGCCTACTAAAGAAATAATAGTACCTTGAGCCTAGAGAGCCCGTACCGGAACCTTCTAGTAAGAATCGATATATATTAGGTAGTTACTAAATAGGAGGCTACTATCGCGTGTAAAACCCTATATTAATCGAGATATAGTTATTATAATACTAATACCTTGACCTAGTATATTATATATAAAAATACTAAAAAGTACAATTATCCCTTATAGTCTAACGGTCTATCTAACGAGCTCTATAAAAGGGAGTCCTAAGGTAGGATCTAATACGTCCTCTAAGCTCTAGATAGAGAAAAGATAAACGATTATATATATACCTCCTAAGATCAATCAATCAATCAATCAATCAAAATTCATTGGCCCGATTTAGCTTCCTTTACATACAGGTGCTATGCGGGGGTTTGTTATCTTGCTTTTCCAGCAGCAGACACAGAGAGAAAGCGGTGGCAGAACCTGCTAGCCAAGCCGCCGGCGAGAGGTGGCAGTGCCTAGGGCCTAGTTCTGCGTTGGGCCTGGCTAACAGCCAGGCTCGCCACTGGCCAATCAGCCCAGCCACAGCGCGGGCCACAGCCACAGCCGTAGCCACAGCGCGGGCTGCAGAACTAGGCCGCCCAGGCCACCGCCCATGCGTACAAGAAGGGAAGTGGTGCAAACGCAGCAAACAAACAAAGCCAAACAAGCCAAACACCAACAAAGGAAACAGACCAAACGAAAGGAAGGGGAATCGCTGCAATCCCCGCAGTCTCCTAGTCCCCTCAATCTCTCAACGCCGCTAACCCCCAGCGGTCGCCACAAGCCACATAGCCCTCGCAGACAGTTAACCCTAACCGTCGAATCCTTCAATCTCTACTGAATCCCCTGCCTTCCTGCTTCCGAACGTCCCTATCTCCGAGCACCCTTATTTCTTCCTCCTACAGTCGGCATCCACGATTCACCGAGATCCCGCATCACCAGGGTGCCTCGGCCGCGCAACACCACTCCCCCGTTACCACGTTCTCGGTCGGCCCAATCTCGCATCGACGGAATACTCCGAGGCGTTATACACCATGCTAAAATACTGCGTCGGCTATGGCCGCTATCATGCGCACGATGGAAGTTAAGGAGGACGGGTGGACCTGGCACCCGCCCTCTAGTATTGAGCGTCATCGGGATCCCACTCCCACTGTCTCTGGGTGAGAGATCATTTATCTCGATCTGAAGGGGAACTGAGAGATTCCTAAGCGTCTCCTGGCCCTCCTGGTTCTTCTAGCGCAGCTAGTTCTTCTGGTTCTTCCACGCCTGTGGCTATCGGGTCTATATCGAGGAATTAGCCTAGAAGCCCTGTATTCAGTATAAGTTTAGCCACAAAAGGCCTTGCTTCCTTCCTACTAAGTAGTTCATCTGTTCCAACAGCTATCGAAACGCCTATACCAGCTAGTTGTTAGCGCATACGATCGCGCAGGTTAACTAGCTAGGGGCAGGCCAATAAGATGTGTGAGACGGTCTAACGCCCTTAATCGCATATACACCAGTCAGTCTCTGCACGGTTAATCTTAGCCAGATACCCTCGTAGGGCAATCCGGCCTGTACGTAGCTAGATAAGAACTGATAAGGTTACCTTTCGTAGTCCCTCCTAGTACTCCAGGACCTTCTTAATTAGCTGTTCAATAAGACGTTTAGTTGGTCGCGCAATAGCATAAGGGCTAGTGGTTTGTTTCTGCCAGGATTGCTCCTAGGCAAGCTTAGCTTGCTAGCGCACACGGCGTTTAACGGCTGCTACAAGGACGATAAAGGTATCGTCTGCCTCTCTCGTAGTGCGCAGGGCAGCCCTTTTAGCTACTTTGTTAGTAGCCTTATTACCACGGATCCCTTTATGTGCAGGGATCTATCTAAACTCTGCATCAATCCCTTAACCTTCGAGCTAACTAGCTAGGTTGCTAGTCCCCTAAAGGTAGACCTAGCTAGAGGGCATACGTAGGTAGTAGAGGGCTCGTAGTGCTGGTTGACTGTTAGAGAAAATCACTAACCTAGGGGCTAACCTCTCTTCCCAGTATCCTTCCAGCATACGATTCCTAACTAGCGTGAGAGATATTTCGATTGCGCGAATCTCTACTGAGTATACAGTAGAAATTTCCTTAGTACCTATCTGCCCCTGAAGCTTCTATGCTCCGTTAGAGCCGACTACCACACTAGCTCCTACACGCCCTTAGTACCTACTACCGTCGGTGTAAATCACTAGGGGCTACGGGTGTCTCGCGATAATTTTGTTATACTCGCTAGTCGCAGTCTCTCTCTCCTAGATCACTACCTTTAGAGGTATATGCTAGGGGGGTCGAATGTATACAATACGGCTCTCCTAGTAAATCTCCCGGCCAGGAACCCCTAGGGGAGCTATGAGGTATCCGCCGGCCCTCCAAGCGATAGCCTCTATCGGTGAAAATCTACTAAGCTAACGCTACGCCCTAGTGCGCTTGTTAATAACCGTCGGTGGGATAGCGAAGGGTAGTCCTGTTCGTAAGCGAATTGCCGTCTCGCTAACTATCCTTTCTATCAGAATTTGTATAGGTATAAGATAGAGCTCCGCGTATAGAGCGGCTGCCGTAGTAGTTTTGAATATACCACTAATCAGGCAGGCTGCTTTATATTAAATACTCTTAAAAGGTCGAGAGATAGCTACGCGGCGCCCCTTAGTATCGTTATTAGGCATAAACTATACTAATACACTATACAGCATCTGTAGGATGATAACTGCTTAGTAGATCCTACGCATAGCAGTTACGGAACTACCCTATATAGAAGTACCTAGGGATCTGATAGCGTTCAAACTGATAGACCCCTTCTGTGAGAGCTTCTAGCGGTGGTCGTTAAAGGAAAGATCCTTATCCAGCCAGAAACCAAGGTATTTAGCCGATGAGGAAGGTTGGATAGTCATTTCTAGTAGGCAAAGAGGTGTATAGGCCTTTGAGAGATTCGTGAGAGGATTAATAAAATATACTAGTGAGTATTTTTTCCTGTCGAAAACAGACGCATAGGTTTCTGCCCACCGGTCAGCCTTCTAGCAGGCCACTTCTAACTGTTGGATGTTGGCTTGTTCAGACTAGCCGGTGGCTATAAGGGCGGCATCGTCTACCTAGCTATTAGCAAAGACCTCCGGCTCTTCTAGTTAGTCAGATTAGTCGGCGCACTTTTCAATTAGCTCCGCGTTATAGAGCAGGTAGAGGATCGGTAACAGTGGTAAGCCCTAGAGGATACTAGTAGGCGTAGGTATACGTTAGGAAAGGCCCTTAGGTATACGAATCCTCGTTGACCTGCCGGTCAGGAAGGCTCTTACCTAAGGCACTAAGTAGCCAAGCCGGCGTTTCATCAAGTCGTGCAGCAGTCGTTTATAAGATACATTATCGTATACACCAGAGACATCTAGTAGTAGTAGAGAAACCACTGGTTTTCTATTACCCTATACAGTTTTAATGCGATCTAGTAGGATTTGAATAGCGTAGTCAGTTAAGATCCCCTTTCGGCCACCAAGATAGCCTGTTAGAAGAAGATCTTCCGTCTCTACTGTGTAGGAAATCCTCTTGGCAACTACCGCTTCAAGAAATTTGGCTAGCGTGTTGATGAGCGCTACAGGGCGGTAGGACTTGGCTATCTGGTAGTCCCGGTCACTACCTGCCTTACGTAAGACCATAGTGAGAGATTGTTGGAAGTGAGACGGATTGTAGCTAATACGAATGCATACGTCGAAGAGAGCGGTGAGGGTCTCGAGGACTACTAGAAGCTTGATAAGCTTATACCAGAGGCTGTTAGGTAAGGTGTCATCGCTAGGTAATTTGCTAGCGCCAGCAGAGAGAACGGCATCTTCTACTTTATGAAGGGTAACTAGTTGAAAGGAGATCTAATTAGCTGGGTAATCGTATTTAGTAATATCAGAGAGATCAGCTGGCGGAGGTATAGGAAAGAAGGCCTAGCGAAAGGCCTAGGCCTTCTCATCAACACTCTCTGCTAGAGTCCTATTAGCTATCTTAAGAGACGGTGTGATCCCACGCTCATAGGACCCCTGCCTATTACGGGCCCACTTGGCTAACTACTATATACCCCGAGGGCCTTTCTCAATCGATTGTTGCACACGTTGGCGGTGGCCCTTAGATAACCTCTTCTTGACGATACGGGCTTTTTAGTTGCGCTCTAATGAGTAGAGCTGCCAGTATAGAGGATCTTAGGTGCGGCTGAATAGCCTACGAAGCTTCCTGCATCGTTTAACGGCTTCTCTATACTCCTGGTCAAACAGGGGATTCGAGAAGGTTGACGGTGTCGCCCAGGGCGTAGAAGCGTCAACCGCCGCATTAACCATACGCAAGAGGGTCCGACATACTATCTCAACTGTAAATTTAGTATTGATAGCGGTGGGCGGTGGTAGCAGATAGGTTGTTATATAGCCAAGAAGGATTTTATTATTAGTTACTTGCCAATTTCGGCGTAGAGGTAGTTCTGATTGTGGCGTATCGATATCCACAGTAGTTTTAATAGGGAAGTGGTCGCTCTAGTAGTCTATATCATGTAGAGTGCGGCAGGAAATCAGGCGGTCGTAGAGAGATTGACTTATAAAGGTCAAATCCAATACCGACCGCTAGTCCTAGCGCTCCTAGGTCTTCACACCAATCTCTGTGGCTAAATCAAGACGTATCTCCTCTATCAGATTAGCCAGTTCTCTTCCTTTCTCATCCTGTTTGGGTCGAATTATATTGCCGTCTCGATCGCATAGTTATAAGCCATCGCCACGCCAGCTCGCGTGGTGAGCGTTAAAATCACCAAGAACCAGGTGCTCACCAAAAGGGCGCTTGGCAATCTCCTCAGGAATCAATCTGACGGTCTCGTTATTTCTCAGTTAGTCGTTGTACACATTGTGGATAAACAAATCGCCCTAGTTACCCTCTACATCTCTCATGCGCCGCAGCTTGAGGATTTGGTAATCTGAGGAAACGACGGTGTGCGCCCACGTCGATGGATCAACCTCTCGGGACACGAACAACGCTACACGCTGCCGTTCATCCTTGATATAGGGAAACAGGAGCTGATAGGTAGCCGGAACCGGATTATGTGTTGTGTCTTAGAGGGTGTTCTTCTATGGTTCTTAGAGAGCGATGACCTTCGCTTCCCTCACTTCTCGCTCTCTCAGGAACGTGGCGATAGTGTCCCACGCCCGCGTAGCGTTGTATTGGATGATTTCGAACGATTTCATCGGCGGCGTGACGGGTTTTGGGCCTTATTAGGTGAGCTTTCTTGGTAGTACTCGTCATCCTCGTCCCTATCGAACGTGGTCAGCGGAGATGTGGAGGTCTTAGAGGACTTGCCGCTAATCTCCGAAGTAGTAACGCTCTTCGTTCGATCTGGCTGTATAAGAGAGAAGCGCTAGATAATAGCTAGTCGTGAGGAAGGAGATAGCTGCGGCGGTAGCTGCGGCTGTGTAGCCGGTAGCTCGACTTCCTAGAGAGAAACAAAGAGATCCCCATCTGATTGCGGTAGCTGTAAGAATTCGTCAAAGAGGTTCTAGCCCTAGTTAACTAGTAGCGTGTTCGGCCCTATATCGGCTATAGCTGCCTCGCCCTGCTCCTGTCTCTGACCCTAGTCCTCTAGGCGTTGCTTCTTCTAGCCGTTAAAAGGGTTAATAGTGGTAGTTGTACGTGGTGGTGATAGTATCGAATGCGATCGGGGCCGAGTAGTAATTACCACTTCTGGCTGCGTAGTAGGCTGGTTAGCGTTACTGGATCCTGCAGGCCTACTAACGACCTTACCATTCGCTGTCACCGTCACCGTCCTTCTATCCCTGACCTCTTTCCTATACCTCGGTTTTGGCGTTGTTAGGAGGGGAGGTAGTGCGTGATCTAAGGCCTCGAGGCTATCTCCCTATCGGTAGAGGGCCGTAGTTCTCTGCTGAGAAGAGACAGCCGACTATCGGGTCGGCTGTTGCCGTAGCTACGCGGAGCTTGTTTGCTTGCGAGATATAAGCACTCGCTAAGGGCGTAGCTGCTGAACAGGCTGCTAAATAGGTAGCTAAACAGGCTGCTAAACGGGCTGTTGAACGGGCTATTGAACTAGCTAGCGATAGTGCGCGGGCTCTCGGTAGTAAGGCGGAGCCGCTAAAAGGGCCTCTCTCGCTAGTTTAGCCTCCTTCTAGTAGATTAGGCAATCTTTAGATAGTACGCGGTGGCTGCCGCTGTAGTTTGCGTACTTAGCTTGTTGACGGTCACTGCTAATAGGGCACTCCCAGGTCGGGTACTTTCCAGCGCAGAAACCGCACGAGTACTACCGTTCGAGATAGTGGGAATAGACGTACCTAGGCTTCTGGCACTTTCGATAGAATTTCGATCGTCCTTCACGAATGTACCGCACGGTTTCGAGAGACTAATACGCCTACAGGATCCCAGCCCGAATCGCACGATTAGCAGCCACAGGACTAGTAAATTCTAACACTACCGATCTATTCCTCTTCGCCCCGGTAGGTTTAACTAGCCAGGAAATATAGTGAATCTTAGCCGGCGGCAGGCTATCTCCTGACTATAAGGGATTCAGAGAAACCAGCTCATCAGAAAGCGTAGCAATCTCCGCCGGGGTTAGCGGGGTAGTCTTCATACTAACCACGCTAGTAGGGACCCTACGAACGACTACCCCCTAGGTAGGCACCTGTACGGTTACACCAGGACCAAAGACCTCTATCTATCTAGTTGTATATATACGGAGGACCTCGGCCGAAGCCGCCGTATCTACAAAGAGAGCCACATTACTAGACGGCAGTTTCCTAGCTACCACCGCGCGCAGCAGCGGCTAGCGCCGATGATAGGGTCTTGAGAGCTGCGGCCACTATTCTCTTATCGACCTGTTGAACGATGTCCTTTTCGCTTATATCCCTGCGGCGAAATCGTTCGCGAGATCCCTGATCGGCAATCTTCACGATCACCTGTCGGTCCTCCTGTAGTTCGACCTCGCTAACCCCTGGCGAGGAAGCTCCGTTAGAGCGGTCAATTAGCGCGGGCGCACTAGTGGTCCCCTTCTGCCATGCGGTCATACGTA